CAGTTAGTGAGGATATAAATGAATGAATTAAAGAAGAATAAATCCAACCTCAAATATGCCAGCAGCAAGGCAAACACGATGGTCGTCTTCACCAAAAGCGGGAGCACAATGGACAACACCCGTTCCACTATCATCCGTGACATAGTTATCCGCAATCACTCTGAAGGCAGTCTCTTGAAGTTCAATGAAAAAATCAAATAGAGGAGTATACCTGTAACCAGAAAAAAAAAAGTAAACAGCCATAAGAACCAAAAAGCTCCAGATACGTACTCCAGTAATTCTTTGCTATCACATGAATTTAATATTCTCCCCAAACAATCTTCAGCAATTAAGACTGAAGAGTGGTAGTGCTTGGTAAATGAATAATGTCCACAACCTACAATACTTCAGTAGACTGTGGAGAGTGGAGTGGAACTGTTGTTGGAGTAAGCTAGCTATATCAATGCAAGATATCCAAATGCAGAATGTTTTCTAAAATTGCAGAGGGATGTCCAAAGTCCAAAGCTATATGGAGTTACAACTTAGCTCAAAGAAGAAACACCTTACACAACAAACCAGTGGCTAACATAAGGATAACAGGAAGCTAGTCTAAGGAAGACCTTTGTATTCCAGTCAGAACTTGAGTAAATAGAATTGGAAATTCTAGTTCACAAGTTCTAACACTGAAGTGCTGGTAAGTGATGATAAATGTAATATAAATCACATTAACATAATGGTGTGGATATCATATCCTATGAAATCAACTCCAACTACAAGATTGATCTAAATTTAAAAGAGAAGTACTCACTTTAAGCCAACCAAGGATGCCCCAGGAATCTTTGCCAACAGCCCATATGATTCCTTGTCCAAACCATCCTGAACAGCTTCAGCATTGCTTCCCTTTGAAGGCGCCTGCTTCTTTCCTGAAGCTTTGACCTTAACGGGTAACTGCCCAAGCCTAGATTCTGCAATAACATATACTGCTCCATTTGATTTGTCTTTAACCTGTTTGTACACAGTAAGTGTCCTCAATGGAATGTAATAAACAGCAGTTTACAAGTAGAGAAGTGTGGGAACAGTAAAGAACTGACAAACTGGGGTAGCCTGTAGACATGCAGCAGAATAGGAAGACAGCGTGCCAAAATTACAAAATGAAAAGAAAAATAGGGTTCAAAAAAAGCAAAGTACCAACCTTTGCATACATGAGATTGGCATTGACACACAGCGCTAGGTTACTTGGAAGTGTCCAGGGTGTTGTCGTCCATGCAACAAGAGCTGCATTGTCCGCATCACCAACAATAGGGAAGGATACCATCACCGCTGGATCAGGAACAGCCTAGGGTACAACTTAAAAATCAGTTACTATAAACAGCAACAATAAAATTAGCTAGGTCAACTAGGAAGCCAATAACCAACCCTATAGTCCAGTGCTGCCTCAAAGTTTGACAGTGCAGTTTTGCATCCTGTGCTGTAAGGCATGACCTATACCAAGAACAAAGATTTCACGAGGTTTTAAGGAATTCCCTGCAATACAATGAACAAAAATAGGAATTCCCTGCAATACAATGAACAAAAATAGAACATAGATCCATTTCCTCATTTTAGAGAGGATAATTTGTATTGCCAGATAGTCTATTTGTTTATTGTTTTTCTCTTCATTCGAGAAGGATTAAAAACAACACATTAGCAGCGACTACAGTGCACAGATTACCCTACAAGCCACACATAACTCCCAAGATTACAACCACACCACACCCCTCAAGAAACATGTGTGCTATATCACAAAGCCTAGATCAACAAAATAAAAATGACATTCTCTTATCTTACAGAAGCAATATTTAAAGCAAGCTAAAAGTTCATATATAAAATTATTGATCTATAAACGATCAAAGCAGCATGTCAGCAATAATAACAGTAAATATACGCAAGGAGATGTACTTCTCGCATTGAGACACAGCAGAATTTGCAATGTAATCACTGTGCAGACAAAGACACTGTTAAGTTCCCAATCTACCATTACCCTTATTCATATACTACATTTTCTGCTCCCTCGTGAAGCCACGTCACCATCTTTTCATATCTGTCCGATTCGGCACCAACAGGCACAAGGGCATCACCGGACACAATATCAACACGTCCACGGCTCTACCCAGCCTTCCACGACCTCCGCCGAACCTTCCAGCAAAAAAAGGTTCCGCCCTCTCTTCCCCATTAGTGGCGATTCTCCTCCTGCACCCCCGCCGCTCCCCCCACCCGGTCGAGTGCCGCCCCTGCCTCCGGCGTCGTACCCGGCCAGCCAGCGCTGCAGTGCGCCGTCCGCGCCCCCCTGGAGGTTGCGACACCGCCGCTGCTCGCCACGACGCCGCCGACCCCGTGTGGTCAAACCCTAGCGGCGCAGGGCCCCACCGCGGCAAGCCCTACCAGGTGCAGCCTGGGCGCCGGGCGCCGGCGAGTGCAACCTGCGCGCCGGCAGCCTCCTCAGCGGCGATGCAGGAGTCTTGACCGGCGGCGCTACCCTCAGTGGTCCCGAACTCGCCGTCCGCGGACATCTCGGTGAGTTCGCCTCAGCCTACTCCTCTTCTGCGCCGTAGTCCTGCTCACGCCTCTTCTCCTCAGCGTGTCGTAATACTTCTGCAGATTTTCCTCTTGCAGGGACATCATAGAGAACGGAGCATCTGGGTGCCGACGATTTAGCCCATTGAGTAGTAGTTCCAGGTATTTTCCCCTAGACATTTTTTTCTCAAACAAATGATAGATATTTGGATAAGAGGATACAGAAAAGAAAGAAATAATGTGTTAGTGTTACTTGCTGTGTTCTCTTTTTTTTTGTGACTTCCTATGCCTGTGCCTGAAACATTACATTAGTAGAGTACCGTTGGTGGGTGCCAGGTTAGTTTTCGATCCTTGGATGCTTTACTGAATCATTGGTTGTTGTTGCAATTTTAGTTGACGCCAGATTTTTTTCATTCCTTGGTCTGCACGTGCTCAATTTTAGTTGACTTATGAAATTGTCACAGAACTAAATTGCTTCCAAGATCAGTCCTATTATTCTATACTACTAATAAGTTTTTTTTTGTTTGGGCAATATGAACTCCCATTAGAAATATACACAATAAGCAGAGAGTTCACCTCCTCCATTAGCTGATAAAATTGATTTATTCTTCTTTCTTCAAAGTTTCGTGTAGCATTCGATCAATTCTACTCATGTTGAGATTATCTCTACTGTCAGTGTCAGCCCCACTAATGTTGAAATTAATTCTAATGAGCTGAGCTGCTCATCCAAACTTTAATTGACCAAGAATGTTTAATTGTTTTAAAAGCCTATTCTCAAATGTATCTAAGGACACAGATGCACAGAGATTGCAGAGAGAACATTCTGAGAGCACAAAAGTGATGCAGTACCAGTGGTTTTGTTATTGACCAAGAATGTTTACTTGTTTTAGAAGCCTATTCTCAAGTGTATCTAAGTACACAGCTGGACAGAAATTGCAGAGAGAACATTCTGAGAGCACAAAAAGTGATGCAGTTGCAGTGGTTTTATTCTTGCTGCACTAATTTCACCGAGGGTGCAGCTGCTATTGTTTTCCTAAAGTTTAGGAGTTCATAACATGCCAGGCATTTCTACTTTCCTGTACCTATTTGGCAATTTCTCTCTGTGACAATGGAAAGATCATACTTTGCCATTGACATATAACCTCTCAAGCCATAATATTTGTGAAATGTTTTCTCCTCTCCTAAAGGCATGCAATTTGTGTAACGATACTGCTAGACATGTAACTAGTGTACATTTGAGGTGCCACAAAGCGGTGCTTCACTATGCTGTACATATGTAATAAACAAATTAATAAATATTGTCCTGTCATTGTGTGCTTTGTCGTAGAGACTTATAGTAGCACCTCAAAAGCACAAACAGATATAGAAGCATGCAGCTACTGCGGGTGCAGCGAAGCGTGCCTCCCTGTTTGTTGTACTCATAGAGGACAACTATCTTCATTACATGTTGCTAACATTTTTTTCTTGATTTTCAGCATCGCAACAGTGATCAAGACTATGGTACATACTCCTCAATGACGTTTCTTATATAAGTTCATCAAACAGTTTCTTGATAATAAGAACTTTGAACGCTCTGGCAAAATGTTGTCCTCGCAGCTGTTTTGTATGTGCAGGTGTAAGTGGGATTTTCTAAAAGCACCGTCAAGGGCTTCAAAAGTTCAAATTAGGTTTGCTATGCTGTATTCACTATCCTGAGATACAAGAGCGGAGGCTAATGAGGTTTGCTAATTTGAGTGTCCTTCTGAGATCTTAGCTGCAAGATCTATTGCTTTCCAACATGCATTGCTTCTTTTCTTACATGCTGCGAAAAGGTTTGTTACTGCAGGATGACCTTCACAAAAATAGGCATACTTCAGATGCTTTGACTGCATTTGCATTTTTGCTTATTGCTCTAAATGTTTTTTTACAAAATTGTTTACAGCCCTCTGCTACATGCTACCTCAACCGGCCCTGTCCTCTTCACCCGAACCCACTCCCTGCATCTCCAACCTCTATCCGGGATGTCGTCAACCATCATTTTCTCGATGCCTCAGTAGTGAGCGGCAGGTTGCATAGTTTTGTCACCATTGCCATTTCATTCTTATGTGCTTATTGTTTGCTAATTGACATTTATCTTATGCCTTATCCTTTTCTACTACAGTGCCTTCAGCTTCCCAGATGTTTTACTTACAACATATTCCAGATATTCTAAGCATGAGCAAGAAGTAAAGAAGTGTCTTTAGTTTGGAACAACCACATTGTATTTTGTTATGATAACATTGTGCAATGTGATTAAATCTCAGAGGTGCCAATATTCAAGAACACCGTCATCTAATGGATTCTACTGTTTCTTATGACAAAACTTATGTGTTAGAGCTTACTAGCCCGCGCAATAGCGCGGGGTTCCTGCTAGTTCACTGAAAGCTTGTCAAACTAAATCCATCGAATCCTAAGATTGTCAAACTTTGTACAACTAAGAATTATGAGAATCAACAGACTCGAAAAATAGCTATGAGTGAGATTAGAGATGCGACCTTGAAGCCCTTATAGACGAGGTCCTTCTCCCAGAGCTGCGCAAACACCCACCAGACGCTCTCCATGAAGTTGATGTCCATGGTCTTGTAGTCGTTCTTGAAGTCAATCCACCTCCCCGTGCGTGTGACCATGGCCTCCCACTCGGAGACGTACTTGGTGACGATGCTGCGGCACGTCTCGTTGTACTTGCCGATGCCGAGGTCGAACACCTGCTGCCGGTTGGTGATGCCGAGCGCCTTGTCGATCTCAAACTCGACGGGGAGGCCGTGACAGTCCCACCCGAAGCGTCGCGAGACGTGGCGGCCCCGCATCGACTGGTGCCGGGTGACCACGTCCTTGATGGTGCCGGCGAGTATGTGGCCGTAGTGGGGCAGGCCCGTGGCGAAGGGGGGGCCGTCGTAGAAGATGAACTCCTCACCGCTTTCCGTGCGCCGGAGCTGCTCGTGGAAGGCGTCGAGCTTCGCCCACAGCTCGAGCACCCGCTCCTCCTGCTGCGGGAAGGAGAAGTCCTTCCCCTCGCACACGTCGTCCATGGCCTCCACTCCGACGGTCGCGGTGGCGCCGAAGGGGGCTGGGATTCGAGCGGTGGCGCCGAAGGGGGCTGGGGTTTCGGGCGATGGTGCGGCGGCGGCGAAAGGTAGGGCTGCAGTCGTTCCGGATGACTTTACTCCACCGTCACTGCGCATCTGGGCGTTCCCTTGTATCCGACGGTGACCAGGACTCCAGAGCATGTGCGCTGCCCCCACGCTCTTCTCCTGGGCTTCGGCCCAATATCAGCACGGCATCGGGAATTTTCTGGCGCGATGTTTGGGCGCCGCGACTGCGTTTTGGCGCGAGTGTTGAAGGCTTGCCGCGGAAGTGGATTTTCCAAATGTCCCTGCGGCCACACGGGTTATCCTGGCCGTGTACCGTGTGCTCGCGTCAAGATTCGCGCTCGATAATGAAGAGGTAATACATTTCAGTCAATTCAACCGCGAAGGGCAAATAAGGAAGTTTACAAGCATAATTTTGGATCAGCCGATGACGAGCCATCTGATAATTTAAGGGGGTGTCTGGGACGGTTCCGCTCCACGTTTTTCAGCTCCGCTCTATGTTTTTTAGCTAAACAGTTTCAGCTCCACGCACTCTGCTCGGGGAAAAATGGTGGAGTTGTGAGAGCACTTAAAGAGGTACTCCACAAACTCCAGTTTTTATGGAGCTGCTCCACGGTGGAGTTTGTGGAGCAATCCTAAACACCCCATAAGCACTTCATTAGTAGCAATAGGCGTTGAGACAGCCATGTTAAATCAATGCAATAGGTCACTTATATACTTCATTTATGCCCAATGCATGGTCGCTGGCCCAGCTTAGGAAGAGCAAACCTATCCGCAATCACTCCCCCGGGATAACGGCACCTTATCTAAATTTATCAATTCAAACAGTACTGGTACTCCTAAGCCATGAAACCAATGCTAAGGAAAAGACTTCTGCTCGTTGGATCAAAGAAAAAGGTCTAAGTTTATAACATTAAAAAAACAGGCATTGTTAAATGGGAATTTTCTTTCTTTTTCACTAGCCAAAGGTTTGCCAACTCTAGTCTTGGATACCCTTTCTCTTTTTAGGACTCCTAATAGTCCAACTACGGAAGACGACTTGTTTTAAGCCCTTCTCTTTTCAAGCCATGACGAAGTAAACACCAGAATAGAGATGGCAATACTTACTTAATAGGTATTATGAACTGGGAAATCAAGCCTTTATTTCTCTTTATAGGGAAGCTAGCCTCTTAGGCGCAGTGTTAGAGATCTTCACTGTTGGCTTGTTGGTTTCAGTCAGCCCAAACCAGCCAACCAATCGTGTTTTCTTCTCAAAAAATCAGCACCAGTCAGCCCAAACCAGCACCGGCACCGACCAGCGAACAGACCCCTTACCTATCTTAGCGGTCAGTGCTGCTTGATTGAGTGAAGGGCAGAGCGATAAATGCTTACCTTTCAGTTGTCCCGGAGCAGGAGCAGGCAACAGAAAAGAGGTCTAACGTGAAGCGAAGAACTAGCATCCGAGCTGCGACAGTGGCGTAACCCACTACACTTCCTTCTACCCCAAATGTAGTTCAAAAGCAGATGTATTCGGACGCACTACGTCGATAGGTCCTGGAACGATTCAGGAAAAGGCTCCAGGAGCAGCGATGAAGGAGCGGAAGACGTGGAATTGGAGGCGAGACGAAGCCAATCTGCGCTTCCGAAGGCCTCCGTAGATACGTGCAATGTAGAAGACCACAGATTGCGAGGAACTCCAGGGAGCGAAGGCGAAGCAGAACAGTGTCACCCGCCACAAGAACCAGGAAATGTTCGGCAAGGATCCACTAGTTCAGCTACCGAATTGGAGGTTCAGGTAAGCACAGAAGGAAAATGTTATTTCTGAGACCTTTGATTATAAGTTTGGATTACATTTCGGAAAGTATAGATTTCAGTACAGTAAACCATACGGATTGTGCATGAAAACTGCAACAAAAATGCCTTCCGGTGTATGCAAATGTCGGCTAGGATGGCGAATCCTCTATCTCCAAGTAAGTGGGTTCCTACATTTCCTAGTTACTGTCGAGCAATCTCAGATCTGTATGGAATAGAGAAATGATAGTCTAGTATGCCTATGAATATCTAGATAAAAATATATTTTATAAGTCCAAAATAAAAAAACATGCCTGCTCAACTTGTAGGGAACTAAGATCTAAGTTTGGATACTGTATTACGATTCAACAACATGGATTGAACTATAAATGACTTGCTTAATTGTTTTTGCTGAAACTGAATGCAAGAAAAAAAGATAAACATTTGTCAACCTGAATTACCTGAATAATTTAGTCATGCCAACCTCAAGTCTACTATGCAAAATATATACTATAGACTACAAATACTCAAGATGGAATAATGACCAAATAAAATGTATTATTGTCATGAAGGAATTGGCGACTGCACAAGTCTACAGGAGTTAATGCATGGATTTAGCAGTAGTACAATAAGCATATTGGATTACCAAGAAGACCTTCAAATAGGTGCAGCAAGTTGTGTGCTGGAATGTCAACTACGTGATGCAGAAAACTGTGTACAAGACAGTTATCCAGAGAACGATGAGGACAATGAGCATGAAGACTGCAGTGATGCAGCTAGTTGTGAATATAGTGAAACTAACGACAACAAACAGAGCAACGATGGAATTGGAATAGTGGTGGAATTATCATTTAGTACAGGTGATAAAGATCTTGAATGTGTTGATTGGGAAAAGTTTTACTCTACTGGTGATCTGGTCAGGAAAATAGATTATAATGAAACAGCAAGAACTGAGGACATTCAGAAACAAACAACTACAGAAACACTCGAATGGAAGAAAAGGTGCTTTCTGAGTTACAAGCCAGGAATTAAAAAAACTGTTTGTTTACTAACAATGCCAAACTTTACATGAACTTCCTTGCCTTTTTTTTCCGGAGGAGAGTTCCAACTCCGTGCAACCGGGAGGCATTCAGGAAGCCACGGGGCATGGGAGCAGTAGAACGATCCATGAGGCGATATTGTGAGAAAAGGGAAGGAACTATGTTTGAACCATATGTTGGTCTAGAGTTTGATTCAGAAGCAGAGGCATCTGAGTTTTACAACCTGTACTCATGGGAAGTGGGATTTGGGATTCGCAAAGGAAGCCTTGACTCAAATAAAGACGGCTATCAGACATCCAGGGTCTTGGTCTGCCAGAGACAGGTAAAATAATGCCATGTAAAATCTAGTCTCGATCACAAGCTAGATATGTATACTAGTCAAGAAGATAAAAGTAAACTCCCTCCCCCCAAAAAAAGAAGATAAAAGTAAACTGCAAGTGTTCTTACATCTTAAAGTGTTCCTTTCGAATTTTCCACATGCATGGTTTTGATAAGCGTGTGAAAACAAAGACTGAAAGGATGCAACTGCAAGGCGATGATTAGATTGCACCGGACAGAAGAAGATGGTTGGTTGGTTCATGTTGCGGGGATGTCGAAATAACAACTTCGAGGTCCCAGGAGCTCACTGAGCAACTCTTCTTTAGGATCAGGTTGAGTGGCATATAGTATTTCAATTATTATTCCAACATCGAACTAGTAGATGGAACTCCATTAATACAATTATATACAAATTAACCAGACTTCCCATTACAAGTTTTACATCCCGCTCCATCCAGTGGATGCGGTCTCTACTCCACTAAGGTTCACTCTTATAGTCGCTCCATCAAGGAATCCGGAGTTAACTTGTAGCACGCTTGGAGTCACGCCCATTCCAAATGCTACTATGCAGCGGCGGTCGAGCTATTGCTCAACATAGTCTACGACGTACTGCAAAACAACTTAACGGCTGCACCATAAGTACATTGCGTACTCGCAGGACTTAATTCCAACATATAGTATTTGGTGGATGCATAAGGTGATTATCATGCGTTTGTATGAGTGCGGAAAGCAATGATGTTCATTAATAATATGGCATGCCATGCTCAACATGGAAGTAAAGGCATTTATCATTATAGCAAGGTGCTCATAAACCATCTTCATACTACCATGGGTATAAAAAGAAAGAACAACCGAATAGTTTCGTCCCGAAGGACTCTAGGCTTTCAAGACTCTGCAGAGGTGTACAACTGTACCGACACGGAAGTCGAGACTAACAACCATACCCATGCCCGGGTAAGGGTTGCCTCATGCCTTCCAACCTTTCCCTAATCCGACTCAAGTGTCACATGAAAGGTTCGGGCGGTTGCCCGGTCAATATCCCAGACACTCCATCCTACTGACGGACACTCCGTCAATCGGGCGACAGAACCTATGATCTTGGGTTCTTGGGTGAGGGCTTGGGGATTCATATCTAGATCTCGGGTAAAAGCATCCATGCATGTGCTGGGTATTTCTATGGTAACTTGGGTGACTTAGCTAGGCTCAAGGTAGCTAGGTTCGGCTTAGGTTAGCTAGTGTAACTAGTGATTCCTTGACCATGAGAAATCCTAGAGATAAAGAGAGATTGAGGGATAGCATACTTGATCCTTACTCTTGGGGTACTTTTCCATCAAGCCATCCTCATGATCCATCCATGTAAGAAAGAATATTTAGATTAGGGTTGGAGGATTGATCTCAAGATAAAGAGAGGAGAGAGCTCCTGAACTAACCATGAGATGAGAGGTTGTTGAAGCTCAAGTGCTTGGCCTAGGGCTGATCTTGTTGCCTTCTAGCATCCTGGTTCTCTTCTGTCTTTTTCTTCTTCTCCTCCTCTTCTCTTCTTCTCTTTCTCACTCTAGTTCATCCTTTCCCTCTCCTTGCTCTTCCTTCTAGAGAGAGAGAGTGTGTGAGAGAGAGAGAGAAATGAGGAGAGGATGAGTGAAGCTAGGGATCTGGGGTTGGAAAATATCTCACTCGTGCTGACTTGTGGGCTATGCCCCATAATGAATAACAACTCACTTCCCACTCCATCCGTTGTCTCTACATCTTTATCGGATGATCCGATATGAGTGACGGATTGTCTAGTAGTCTCTGGATTTGCTTAAACAAAGCTTAGAAACTTGATCTCATAACTCTTGAATCCAATTTAAAGCTTAGGGTGTCCTACTTAAGATCGTTAGGGAATTCCATTTAACAGGAACTTGGGCGACCAAAATGGGAGTTTATAGTGTATGGTAACTTGGGTCGTTACTATGGCAGAACCGTCCAAAATAATACACTTTCGGAGGTGATTGTCTTCCACTAGACACT